ATGGTCCTTGATGTGTGCCAAAAATCTGAAGAACGGATTCGAGGCCTTGAGAACACGATTGATGAGCTGAAGGCAGACAACGCGCAGCTGAAGGCAGACAACGCGCAGCTGAAGGCAGACAACGCGCAGCTGAAGGCAGACAACGCGCAGCTGAAGGCAGACAACATGCAGCTGAAGGCAGACAACAAACGCATGGACAGTGCTATTGCTCAACTGCAAACGCGGCTGCAAGACGTGGGTTTCCCTCTCATGTTACTGTTGCACTAGATTGATGGCCCCAATACAGGTGGAGGGACCCCTCTCCAGGTTGAGTTTGCGAATCACCCACGACATGGCTCGTAAAAAGTTGGCCTTCTTGCTGGATCCAACGCTCAACGAGAGCACGTGGTCGGGCTTCTCATGGAGCGACTTCGTTACTAAATTTCCTATGGAGAAGGCCCGGGCAGCCTTGAGCAACGACTCACCTTGGCTCAAAGATGCTCAGATTCTCCCCCTTCTGTATTTGCCAGACAAGTACAAATCTTTCCGCAGTGCTGGGTCGAGGGTGGCCCACGAGGCCGAAGAACCCGAGCTGGCGCTTGCGATTCTGCGTCTCCCTGACAAACCGCAACGTCGGGCTTTCCTAAGCCTCCACGAAATCGTTCACGGCAAGCCAGCCGATTTCCCGCGTACCTAGTACATCACTGCCTTTTCCCCATGCCTCGTATCCTTGTATCACATCCATGCCGTCCCACGTCCACACTGTACAGTTAGTTACCATCAATCTCATCACGAGACTGAGCATCAGCGAGTATTTCCATGAGTGCGCCCGTTCACCTGCACCCAGCAGGCGTAAACGCCGATCGCCAAGTTCTGGCAGTGCATGTAAGGCAGGCGTCTGTTCGCTGTCGAAGGGGGGCAAGTCATACCTCCCGTGTTCAATGTTAGTCTGTGAAGAGGTCTCGTCTCTCATATTGTGCCCTGCAGTAGTCGATGTGGGACTGGCACATGATGTAAGTCTATGTCTTTGACGGTGTACGTTGGTGACTGCAACTACCGAGCAGGCAATGGGACACAGTTTCAGAATGGGATATTGTGTGAGTGTGAAGCGGGATTGGGGATCTATGCGAAACATGAATTCAAGCACCAGAGGGGGGCTCTTCTTGCAAATTGAATTGGCATGGGAAACCTTCCTATGACCAGCAGACCCTAAACTTATGAAAAAAGGGTTATGACATCGTGACATCTCTCACATTTGGGAGTTGCTCAGCCTCGAGTCCGAGTCCGAGTTACAGTACCATAGTTTTCAGAATTTGGAAGCTGGACAGCGGAAGATTGGTGCCTTCCTTCAGGAAATGTACGGAGGGTGCTATACCCATTCCCCTAAGCACAGCACCCCGGGGGGCCGGGGGGTGGGGGAGGGGTTAAACGATTCTACCAATCAATCTTTTAATTTTTAGCAGAATTAGGTGTTATTCTGCGGTGTAATTGCAGAGTAGAACAGAACAGTAGCTCGACGGACCGGAGCGGAAAAAATAACATCTGCAATTCTCATCCCAGCTCAATCTCAATCTTACCAACCCCCATCTCCCGTGTAGTGCAACACTACACCACACGCCCTCATGCACCCAGTAACCCTGCTCTACAGGCCCTTCCCTCCCATACCTACAACGCCGACCGCCTCCCTCACCCTCGCGATCTCCCCCGCAGTCAAGCTCCCCTTACTAGCCAACAAGAACTGGTCCAATGCAGCCGCCGCATCCTCCTCTTCCTCAAACTGGAGCCTCAAAAACCCATACAGCCTCGTCCAGAAACTCTTGGAGGAGATCGTCTGATGATACTTGGCGGGCGTGCCCGCGTCGGGCGAGGTGCTGGGGATGGAGGCAGTAAGGATGTCCGTGTTGATCGGGACGGTGTGTAGCTGAGGGGGAGGGGTGGGGCCTGAGGGCGTAGGAGGGCGGGAAGGGATCTCGGTCGAGAGTGTTAGGGTTGGGATAGGCTGGTTGCCCGGTGAGAGAGTTGAGCTTCTACCCGGAGGGGGAGGAGGGGTGTCGATCTCCATCGGATTGTCGTCGGGTTTTGCCTGGGTCCATTCGTACCCAGGCTTGACCATGAGCATCACCGTGCTCCCCTCTGTGATATCGTACTCTTTCACGAGGCGGGCGTCGACGAGTGCTTTCCCCTTGAGCAGGAGCCGCTGGGCGTCGGTAGGGGGGGCACGGGGGTGGAGGGCGAGCTGGTGCTTGAGCTGTGAGATAGGGTCGAGTGGGGAGAGGGAGACGGAGAAGGAGAGCGCGGGTTTGAAGGATTTGATCGTTATGGTGATCGTTTCTGTGTTGTTGTTAGTTGTTAGTGGGAGATGGGTGTAAGGGGTATACCGGATTCTGAGTTGGAGGAATGTTTCTCCGGTGGAGGGAGTGCGTCGATCTGTTGTTGTTAGATACAAAGTGGAGAGGAGAAGGAGATACGCACAGGGATGATAGGTGGACGACGTGGTAAGTCCTCAAGAGGGGGAACATAGTCTGGTGGATAAGCTGTCCTGAGATGAGATAGGGCTGCTAGGTGTTGCGATATGAATGATTTTTCGTCTTGTGATCTTGACATGGTTGTAAGAGTGAGAGGAGGGGGGAGTCTCAGTGTGAGTTGAGTGTGATGTCACGAGTGTTTAAGTGGCTGTGAATTTCTTAATATGGATATATAGATGTTCAATGCACGTTTGCATTCAACAGTCACAGCAGTCACTGGCAGTCACTCACCCCCTCTCCCACTCCCACATGTCCCACATACGCCGTAACTCTTCAGTCCGTTTCCCTCCTTCACCAGCTTCACTCCGCTCTCCTTCTCTTCCCCTCGCAGACCTCCCTCCTTCTCCTCAACAACCATCATCAAAATTCCAGGAATACCTCGTATCATCCCCTCTACGCGCAATCCACCTCATCGACGAACCCGCTGTCGTCGTCAGTGGTGATGCGGCCGTAGAAGACGCATGTGCAGAGCTGCTCAAGGCGGGCCCGGGGGCGTGCTTGGTTGTCCAGTCCTCGGACGCAGAGGGAGTGCACCAAGATGGGCTATTTGACGTGTGTATCCCTCCCAGCCCTCGATGCCCACTCACACATCCACATAGTACGCAGACGCAAACTCCTTCCTCCTCTTGGGTCTCAACGCCCGCTCTCTCTCCTCACCCACCGACCCCCGTGTATCCCAGATCATCCTCGCATCCCGTCAAGGTGTAGTCCCTATCCGTCTGGCGTGCAGTACGTCCCCCTTCATCCCTAAGAAAGTTGAACCTCATTCATAGGAACAGACATCTCCCAGAAGAACCCGATGGAAGTGAGAGAGGAAGACGCTTCCCTCGAAACGCTTCTCCAGATCTACAGCACCGGCACGCACCGCGGTCCGTCCCCTCTCCCCCCCCCAAAACCAAATGCCCACTAACCCCACCCGCAGTGGTCATCCAACCCCAACCCCCGACCCAACCTCCCAAAGGCCTTGCCACAGACCTATCCCTCATCTCCCACCTCCTCCACACCCCCGACCCGTCCGTCCACTCCCTCCTCTCCCTCCCCCTGCAATCCCTCCTCCCAGACCCTCCAAACCCCGTCATCGCCACTTCTACAGACTCGACGATCCTGGATGCGATGACGCTCATGGACTCGGAAGGGGTGAACAGCGTTGCCGTACTGGACGCCAACGGGAACCTGCATTCCGCAGTGAGCGTGACGGATATCGGGAGGCTTGTCATCCCTAGCTTGAGCAAGGACGTCCTAAGCACGAAACTGGGAGAGTTCGTTCAGAGGATCAAGGTGCGCCCTCTTCCCCCCCCCGCCCCCCGTCACCCTCGGGTTACTGGAGACAGCTAATGCGCGTGTAGTGGTCTGCGGGGGAGACGGACGGGAGAGATCATTTTCCTGTTTATAGCGTGCTTACGAGCTCGACTCTGGAGTATATGATGGAGAAACTTGTTGCTAGTACGTCCTCCCTGCTTTCCCGTATCTTCCTTCGTTTCTTTTCTCTCCTTTTGCGTTCAATACATCCTTCCCCTCTGCCTTTCCCTTCGTGCTAACACACACTAACTCTCGTACAGCAAAAGCCCACAGACTGTTCCTAGTAGACGACCCCCTCGTGCCGACCTCTCCAAGCCGGTACGGAAACCTCCGGGGCGTCGTCTCCGTCGTAGACAGTACGTCTCCCCCATCCCTCCCTTCCCTCCCATCTTCACCTAAATCTAACCCCTCCCAGTCTTATCCATCTTCGCACGCCTAGCCGGGCTGCCAGACGTCGACCCCTTCCACCTCCGCCGCAAACGTCGTACGAGCTCTACGAGCTCTCTGTCTAGTACGCATAGCCGGTCGAGCCTGGGCTTGTTGGGTACGGGGGGGAGTAGTGTGACTAGTTTGGGAGAAGGAGGAGGGGGGAAATGAGCGAGCGTGTGGGAGGGGGGGCGGGGGGGGGACCAATTGCCGAACTATCAACCACCAACCACCAACCACTGAACCACCAACCACTGAACCACCAACCACCGACTATCGAACCGTCAACCCATCGAACTATTGAACTATCACCATCAGTCCATAGGGCTACCGATCACCGGATCACCAGTGGCCCAAATCCCCGTCCCCGACCTGCAACAGCGAACAACCAACAAACGAACGAAAGGAAAGTGTAACCAAACGAAAAAGAAGTGTACCATACCCATCGCACCCCGCTTCACCACACCTCACTGCACCACAACGCACCGAACGTACCCCCTCACCCAGCAGAACATATGCGAACTCCGATTGTCTAGTTTTGTGCTTCATGCTCCGTGCTTCGTGCTCCGTGCTTTTTGTGATTTGTGCATTTTGAGCTTTTTGATTTTTGGGAGTATGTGATATTGACGCCAGAGTGACGTGATATGATTGTACGACTATGTTTGTTCTCGACTCAACTCAACTCAATGCAAATCCAATGTCATGTCATGTCATGTTGCGCCGGCGTTTGGGATTTGCAGGAAAAGCGAGTCTGCCTGTTTATGGTTTATGGTCTAGAGTACAGTTCTGGCTGCATACAGTCGTCTTATTCTCAACCAAGCACAACGCCCTTCCCCAATGCACCACTCCTCCCACCCAGAATACCATCCTCCGCCTCCCCACTGTCCAACTGCACGACCCAGCGATAATCCATCGACCCGCACTTGCACTCGCAGACAGGACCAACCATCTCAACATCTCGACAGTTCCCAGCTCCCTCTTCAGAGCGGCTTGGCCTGATCGGGCTCCATAAATATCTCGGGAAACTTATGCATCAACTCGGTCATCGTATCCCACGTCTGCAGATCTAGGTCCAATCAGCTCTCACGCTCCCTGATGCCCATAGTCCAAGCGAGCGACGCAGACACAGACGCACCAACATCGCTCCCCATATCGCTCCCAGTGAGCATCTTGAGCGTATGTTCATCCTCTACATGCCCGATGATCTCTACTATAGGATCAGAAAGATGACTGTCCTTCTCTGTTGTGTTAGTTCTGCCTCGCACCCCGGGGTGGGGACGCACTCTGGAAAGACGGACTTCGACGTTTCCCCCGTCGGTGGACTCGATTATCGCTGTGTCGCCGTTTACCTGCGGTGGGTCAGGACTCGGGTATGCGAGGAAGGGGATGGGGGGGAGCGGAGAAGGAGGAGACGGACGTACGCGCAGCAGCTTGCCCGTCATGCGCACTACTTGGCCGACGTAGTACTGCATGCGCTTGGAGTTGATGCGCGGTGTTGGGCGGTCCATGAGTATTTTGGTGGGAGGATGCTGAGCAGGTCGTGAGGTGGTGGTGGTTGAGAACGAGAACTGTGTGGGTGACTGGAATGGTCGAGAGACGCGTCACGGAATCAAGGACGCGCCGGACATACTTTCTTGTGTGCACTGATAATAGTAACATTCATTCAAACAGGACTAACTCTTTTTTATTATTACACAGCTGGTTCCTCATAGATGGTATCAACGCCACTGCTTCGTCTTATCCGTCAACGGCACATACTGTCTAAGATCAGCAACCGTCATTCACACTCCCGCCAAACAGAGGCGCTCACCATAACCCCAAACAGCTCCTTCATCGTCACCGCCCCCTGCTCGTCTTTGTCAACCTGGATGATGGCCTGCTCGTTCGTACCGACAGGGATGAACATCCGCCCTGGCTTGGCAAGTTGGTCGACGAGCACTTGGGGCAGCTCGGGCGAGGCGGCACCGACGTGGATCGCGTTGAACGGACCTGCCTCTGCGTGAGTACACCTTGACACGACATATTGTATAAGCTTACCTCGTTCCGGGTCACCTTTGCGCCTGTCTGAAGTTAAGTACCCAAGCGATACAGACAATCCACGCTCACCCGTCACCTGCAAACATGACAATCTCCCCATCCTCAACCGCCTTCGCCAGCCCGTCCCTCTTCAGGTTCTCCACGCTCCAGTCCGTCAGCTCCGAGATATGCTCCACGCCCACTACGAGTCCTTTCTTCCCCTCGCTGCTCACGAGCCGGTGGAAGATTGCCGCTGTGTACCCAGAACCGGAGCCCACGTCTAGCACTTTCGCACCGGGGAAGAGGAGGGGAAGGAGGTTCTCCGCCGCGTGTGCGTGCTATATGCGTATGATTTAGGTCCAAGATTGAAGAATGCGTGAGAAGAGGTGCGCACCATGTGCGGAGCTGAGATTGTTGCTGCGTAGCCGATGGACTGGGGCGAGTCGACGTAGGCGTCCTCCTTGTACCGCACATACGATGCCCGGTCTGTTGCCTTCATAGCCTATGCCGTCGTCAGCAATCACAGTAACCATCACGGTGGACCAAGAAGAGACACACAGCGGCAACCCGTTCGCTCTTGATCAGCTTGGAGTCGATCATCCTCTGAACGAGTTCCTTGTTCGTCCTCCCGCTACACATCCAGGCCATCGTCCTATTGTGTGAGTTGGTATGATCGTATACAGGAGAAATTCCGCAAGTTGTTCGACGTCCAGCACAACAAGTACTGTAGAATGGATATGAATAGTTCTGGCGGTGTTGTTGTAGGCAAAGGAGGGCGGCTTACGCTGGCGACACTCGGAGGTGCGGACAAACCGGGCAAGGCGCCTGACGTCAGACCCGAAAGGCTTATTCACGGGACATACCACTCATACAATGAGAAATCGTTATTTATTGCAAATAATGTACAATGCAGTAGTGTAGGGTTACAATGAGGATATGCCAGGGTATCTATGAGGTCTCGTTCATGAAGAGTTCGAAGACCACCGGATTACCTTCTCTCGTGATTAGATGTATTCGAACATTCTCGGAGATCTCTTGCTGGGAGCAGGGCGATCGGGGTAGTACAACGGGGTTTGGCTTGCATGGAGGTACGGTCATCCCGTATGGAAACTCTGGACTGGCGCGTCGCAGGGGTACAGCGGCAAGGAAGTGCAGGTCCTGTGAACGATGCACTGATCACTTGCTGTTGCTGTTGGGAACTGCTTTATGCGCCTTTCCATCGTTTCATCGGTCGTCGCTTGCGCATCTGCTGGATGATTTCTTCCTCGCTAGGTTTACGGCCGATCGTTTGCTCTGGAGAGGTGGGTGGGGAAACGGGTGGAGAGGTGCCAGGGAACGTCGGACGGGGGGCTCTTGGTAGGGCGGGCAAGGAGAAGTCGACCGGTGGAAGACCATCATCATCTTCCGTATGAAATAGGAGAGGTGCATCTCTGCCCCACTGGTTGTCCGCAACCCATCCAAGTTGCGGCCCTTTCCAAGAGAAGATCGTGACTTCCGTTCCACTGCTCGGAGTCTGATCGTTTTCCAAGTACAAACCGTCCCACTCTTCTGCCACATCACGCTTATTCCACGCGTCATACCAAGTGTGAAATCTGTGTAGGTCTGCACTGTGAAGACCCATGCGTGAGGGTTCGAGGAACATATCGCTGGTTGGGATGTCGGTTGGAAAGGTGCAGTTTTCGGAGACACCGCCGTCGATACCCAGGCCGGTCTGGGCACAGCATGCAATCAAGGAGGGGCATGCTTGTTGGATCGTTTCGTCTGCTGGGAGGAGGCCAATATCGGTGCACTACAGATGCCAAGTCAGATGGCATGAAGATTCCCTCAACACTTGGACGCACGCACGTTAAGTCCTACGATTTCGTTCGGGTTAGGGATCGGGAGACCTTCGATACCTAAGGCATTGGCGACTATCGGTGTACTTGCGAGAGACACCGCGCTGCAGCATTGCTATGGTGCGATTTGTGTCATGAGTTGACGTGATACAGCTAACGATTCCGCCCACGTACCAGAGTTTCGAGACCGCAGGAAACGGTGTTGTTGTTGTTCGATGCTTGACGGGCGATAAACGAGTTTGCGTCTACTGCAGCAGCCATGATGATGGCGGCAATGAAGGCGACGATGCGCATGCGCGCATAAGTAATGGAGGGAAGTCGAGGAAGAAATGCATTTCGGCAGAGAGAAGTTGAACTGGTTTACGTATTGGAGAATTCTGCGCTAACGCCACATACAATGCACTCCTAGTGGCATCATAGAAGGCGGGTATGAGAGGTAAGTGAAGAGTAGGTGAAATTAAAGGTCAGTTACAACAAATAAACATACGAGGCAAGATGTACGGTTGTGGGGTCAAAGGTCACGTTCACATCCCTTGATATGTTACGGCATTCCACGTGCAAACATGTCGCATGTGTAGGCGGTGCACGTGCCAGGGAGTTTACGGCACTTTTGCTTCTCGACCACTGGGCAGTCGGCGTGATCCCACCTCTGTGCTTCTCCGTCATAGATGTGCCGCCCGTAGTTCTAGTTGTTTACTCTATCGTTACGGAATTCTCTGGCTCGTCAACCGTCTATTAAGTGGCCAAGACATCTTGCAACCGCTCTGCCACCTATGTCGAGCCTTCTTCCCGCCTCGCGCATGTTGATGGGCTTGCTACCTCAACATGATGGGTGAAATCGTGCTGAAATTACTCAACAGTACTGCTAATCAAGTTGGAGCCTCCAGAGTCTATAAGAAGGCAGGGAATTAGATGACGTTGAACATCAAGCAGCTCTCGCTCCAACTCGCTTGTTTCGACCTCCTCAACCAGCCTTCTCTCTTCTTCAACAATGCAGTCCTTCGTCTTCGTCCTTGCCCTCGTGGCCAGCTCTATGGCCTACGTCCTGCCTCGTCAGAGCGCGACTCTTACTTGCGGCACCGCCAACTTGGTAAGCGACGATCGCACTCGATCCCTCTTTCCTTCGCTGATCAGATGCCCCAGCAATGCTGCAATACCCTCGCCCTGGCTTCCGAGCCACTGATCGCCAACGCCCTCGGTTTGGAGAACCTCCAGATCCCCGGCCCGGATATCACCGTCGGCTTGAACGTGAGTACACATTCTTACCCATCCCAGCTCCTTCTGACGGGCGATCTTCCGCACAGTGCACCACCCCTCCCAATGACGGCACCCCAGTTACCGCCCAGTGCATCGGCATCCTTTCCTGCTGCACTAGCATCAACGTCGGTACCAACTCGGATATCTCCGAAGACTGCACGATGACCGGCATCGGCACCAAGCGCGATGTTGCTTACGAGATGCTGTGAAGTGGACTTTTCCGATGATACTGTTTTTCTCCGCAATGTACCTAGCTTATGATCGCAATCTATAATTTGGTTTTGGCACGTGTTTCGAACTGGGTTTGTTTGAGTGCTACCTTCAAGTTAGTGAACGGTCATCTCGACGATCTCTACGTACTATGGAGAGTCAACGGAACCGCCTATGTGTTAAGCTCATTCTAGAAGCTTGAGTAATATCTGACCGCTCCCTTAAAATCGGGTAGATTCGGTTCAGCCGGCTCATAGCCACCTCTTAGTTAGCTCGCGGCTCCTCCAATTTGTGGTAGACTCCTTATTCACGTAATTTCATAATGATTACAAGTCATTGACTGATCGGCTGACTAGTTGAAACTTTTGAGTGTCTCCAACTGAAAGGGCTTAAGATGCCCTTACGCCCTCAATACGTACACGGAACAAATGTATTACTAACTAGTAGTAATACATGCGTGTAGCAAAAGGGATAGAGAGAAGGGTGGCCTACAGCCACCCACTATGTGTCAGTCCATGGACGATCATGATCGCCTCCCAGAGGCGATCCTACCTAAAAAGGCAAGTGAGGGGTCGTATACAGACCCTTACGTCATCAACCCTCTTGTCAATGGATTATCTGCAGTGTTGTCTTGACTCGAGCACCACCATAAGTCAAACTGACAGCTTTCAAATGGCCTAGGATAATCCGAAATTGCACTCTGAGAGCGGGTAGGATCATCCCAATTGAATGAGACAGCCGCATTCTACATGGATGTATAGACAAAACGGAAGAAAACAGCTTCGAGTTATTGACAGGCGCGGCGGAAATTATTCTGCGTCGTAAGAATGTATGTCTGACCGTGCCCATTTGCATCCATCCTGTTGGATCATCGCACTTCTGTTGGCCTTCTGTGTTCCCGCTCCATACTAACTCGGATAAATGTATTGTGCTCTCCGATACTCGGCCAAGTTGTAGACTAGCTGGCAAATGAACTCTTGTTTGCCTCTTCCGCCTTGCCTTTCTCAGATTATGCCAGCCGTGCTGTATATTACAAAATTTGATGCAAGTGGCTTGTAGCCACGTTGAGTTATCTTCGGACCCCAACCGGAGGATATCGAAGCATTCCTTCCGGGTGGCTGGATTATTCTCTACGCAAATCATGAGCAAGCCCGCGACAAGGAAAACAAAACAAGAGACACGTTGGAATCACGTGAGGCACTGTGCAGACACGGAAGATCCGCCTCTGAATGTTGCCGCTTTGCTTTCTTGGCGTGGAAGTCGTAGTGTACAGCACAATGAAGAATCCAACAAAGGGAACGCCGACGAATCGCAAGGATATGTTAATGAACGAAACATGGAAACAAATGAGTGTCATTATAATGGTTGCATACGATAGACGCTTTGAGAGTACAACATGAATTTGTTAGCGACCATTGGATTAGAGCCGCAATTATTCCCTAGCGGGGGATGTAGGTTAGAGAAAAACTCGCAGCTTTCCTGCTCACAGCATCTCGTAAGCAACATCGCGCTTGGTGCCGATGCCGGTCATCGTGCAGTCTTCGGAGATATCGGAATTGACACCGATGTTGATGCTAGTGCAGCAGGAAAGGATGCCGATGCACTGGGCGGTAACTGGGGTGCCGTCATTGGGAGGGGTGGTGCACTGTGCGGAAGATCGCCCGTCAGAAGGAGCTGGGATGGGTAAGAATGTGTACTCACGTTCAAGCCGACGGTGATATCCGGGCCGGGGATCTGGAGGTTCTCCAAACCGAGGGCGTTGGCGATCAGTGGCTCGGAAGCCAGGGCGAGGGTATTGCAGCATTGCTGGGGCATCTGATCAGCGAAGGAAAGAAGGATCGAGTGCGATCGTCGCTTACCAAGTTGGCGGTGCCGCAAGTAAGAGTCGCGCTCTGACGAGGCAGGACGTAGGCCATAGAGCTGGCCACGAGGGCAAGGACGAAGACGAAGGACTGCATTGTTGAAGAAGGTAGGAGAGCTGGAAGGAGAAGGCTGTAGAGAAGAGCTGTTGAGGCAAGAGCTGATGGATTTCCGTCGAGCTCGAAAGCTGCTCCTTTTATAGACATTTCGCATCAAGCCGCTCTCCAGAAGTTGAAGGGTCTTCACTGTCCGCTGACCTTTCGTATCGAAGTGGCAA